ACACTGAGGGAATTCCAATGTCAAAAATAATGATTTTTATATTTTCTAACATTAAATATTACTAACACATTTCTAACACTTGCTAACATTATAACAGTCAATGTTTTTTTTTTTTTTTTTTGATAAAGGCTTATTTTTTCAAGTCTCCTAGAATTGAATAGTTGACGGGAACCATTTTTGAACATTCAGCTGGTTTCTTGTTCTGGAGGGGTCCTTTTTTTATAAACATTGACATAAATATTATCCTACACTGTAAATCTTGGCTTAGATTATAAAATACTGTAGGAACCTTTTACCAAGTCTGTTGGTCTTATTACACAATGCAAATACAGAAGGCTCAAGCTTTAAATAGTAAATTTATGCCAAAAAAAAAAAAAGTTTTATTTTTTAAAAGAAATGCTAATGGTCTAATTCGATTCAATTAATTATGCAAAGCTAAGCTAAAAGTGACCCTGCCAAAACAAGACATCGGTGGAATGAATTTAAAAAAACTGTTTAAGTCAACTTTAGAAGACTTGAAAAATTTGGCTTTTTCAAAAAAGGAGTTTTCCTTTAATGTTTTACATGTTCCTACAAAGACCTGGAAGGGTAGTGATGGGAAAAAAACTGGGTGGAAAAAAAAAATGGATGGGAAAAACAAAAAAATTAGTGACAGGAAAATATATATATTTTTTTAACGTTTTCGCATTCCCTCAAAAAGATGGTTCGCTTTCTCTCGCAAAACTGTTGTTCCATAAACCGTTCACTTTATTCATGTTAACCCTTCTGATTTAGCCGGGACACGCTCCGTATAATAAACTGATCCCAGATCAGCTTCTGTACACGCCATTTAAAGTGACATCTCTGTTATTAAACAAGTGAAGAGCAGCAAATGTATCTCATATTGCTTTGTTTAGAGGATCAATGCACAGCTTTGATGAATAGAAAATGCAGACCTTTTTTATTCATTTCTCAATTTCTACCACCCATTTTTTTCCTCCACCATCACCTCCCTTCTATGTCTCTGTATAGTATAGACATATTTGTAGAATGATTTAGCAACATACTAAAACATTTTTCTAGCATTTTGGAGCATGTTTAAACAATGTCAAGCTGATACTATTGTTGCAATGCAAATTATCAATTAAATTGTAAAAGTCGAATAGAAAATGTAGAGTTCAGATGAAAAAACCTGTAAGTGCCATCTAAATTGTCATCTAAAATGAACATTTTTCTCAGCCTCCTTTGTTTATGTTGAGATATTTCACTTTAAAGACCAGGAAAAGGACTTATTCTTTATCATAAAAGTGATGTTACTGAACATACAAACAGGAGCCTGATAAAAATACTCATTTTAAAGAAAAATTTAGACGCCATTTAGAGGTTTTTGCATCTGAATTCTTCAAATATTGCCACTAGAAACATCTAATATTAAAATATAAAATATTTGTTCTGTAACAAACCAAAAAAAATAAATAAATAACAGATGAGTATGAAAGTTTGAAAAATAACTGTTTGTACAGATATAGCCAACTAGCTAGCAAGCATGCATTACGTTGCAGTTGTTTACAAAAATCATCCACAGTCTTTGACTGAAAATGAAGAGAATGAATGGTTGTAGGTTGTGCTACTGAAGGGCAGAGTGGCTCTGTGCTGGCCATGAACAGGAGAGTGTGACGCATGCAGGAAGCCAAGCTCAGGAGCCACGCTAAGACAACAGCTTTCAGCAAACAGAGAAGATGCTACATGAACGCACATACACTCGCTAGGGGTGTGAAAGAAGCTCAGATCACGCACAAACACACAGAACCTGCACAGAAGCTTAATTTAGACCCTCTCAGACTACCTCCAGCCAAAGCTCTGACGGTCATCATCACCCCCATTGGCATTTTAATAAACACTGCAGCCAGACCTGCCGAGAAGAACGAAAGCATGGCCAGGCTGGACTCTGATCCTCAGGGTGAACAAGACAAGCTGCTCTGAGTCACGACCACAAACTGGCCACATTATCACTTACTGTAAATGTGCAGGATGGCATTCTAAAGTCAACATGAAATCATTATTTACTTTGCTATAAAACCTTTGGGTCTATAAGAACTATACTAAAATAAATTACAGTGATTTCTTGCTATAACGCAGTTCACTTTTCGCAGCCTCGCCGATATTTTTAGTGCAATTTGACATGTTTTTCCACAGTGCATTGTGTTCTGTGTCCAGATTGTGTTCAGCTTGCCAAATTTACTTAATTCTTCAATCGCTACCAATGATACTCTAAAGTACTGTACTGTATGGTTGCAAGTTTTCTCTCCACAATGTCAACGAAATGTTCTGCACCATCAAAGGCACCTGTGGTAGCACCCAAAAAGCAGATGCAGATGCTAACCATCGCACAAAAAGTTGAACTTTTAGACATGCTAAAAGAAGGTAGAAGTTATCCGGCTGTAGGGCACCATTACAGAATAAATAAATGAGGATCAAATGGTTTTGTCTTTGGTCTTATTCTATAATAGTATGAAGGTTTGAACTTTGAGAGTGTTTAAACAAGAGAGAAAGTGTGAAAAGTTAATGCCTCTCTGAGACAAGTGTATAAAGAGTGTAGTGAGGGGTTTTACAGCCTTACAACATCTATAATAATGGTAAAAAAATAAAGCAAACTACTTTGTGGATTTTGCTTATTGCGGGTTATTTTAGAACGTAACTCCCGCAAATAACAAGGAACTATGGTATTACTTTTTGATTAAACTAAAACACATTAAACTGATATTAATAGACAGTGTTTACATTTATAACAGTACAAAAATACTTTGTTTAGTTTCATAATAATAGGAACTATTGCGCATCAAATTTAATTTTAAGCTGTCATTATATGCTAGTTTTCAATGTCATATGATAAATGGCATCACTGGGTGATTTGATGCTCAAGAATTCCTACACTGAAAAAAATATTCATTGGATTTACTTTGTTTTTTAAAGGTAACTGGTTGCAAAAAAAATGCATATGGGCAGAATTTAAACAAACAAATGAAGTTGAACATTAGTAAATTACATTTTTTATTTAAATTCAGCCCATATAAAATGTTACCTTAAAAATATATAGTAAATACAATGAATCATTTCTTTTGTGTATTTTTCTTTCGATTAAATTTACATTTTTTAAATTAATGATTTGTTAAATACAAATTAAGTTCTATAAAATACATCATAACATATTAAAACAGTGATGAGCCTCAGAGACGTACAGTAATACAAACGTGCAGAACAAAAATAAAAAATCCCAGTGTGTCCTTCGAAAAAAAGTAGGGGTGTAACTTCGGCATCCTGGCCAAATTTACCTCAGTCCATCATGGCCTCCTAACCATCCCCATATGATAATTGGCTTCATAACACTGTCTACTCTCCACCAATCAGCTAGTGTGCGGTCTGGCGCAATATGTCTACCGTCGCATCATCCAGGTGGATGCTGCACACTGGTGGTGGATGAGAAGATTCCCCCAAAAATGTGTAAAGCGCTTTGAGTGTCCAGAAATTGCCAAATAAATGTAAGGAATTATTATTATTAGTAATAGTAGTGTAATTAATATAAATTATTAAATAACAACACTGAAAAAAACAAGCTTTTTTTCTGACAGATGTCCATTTTTTCTAATACTGTTTTATTGTTCAGTTCTCTGATTGACTCACTGTAGCATGTGAAATGGAGGTAAACATATTTCAATGGCATCTAATATGATTTTAAAACGTTGCAGCTTGGTAAAAAAAAAATTCAAATAAGCTTCAAAAGTGAACAGATTTCTAAAGATTAACACAAACATACAACGTCAAACAGAAGTGAGAGGTTTTCTTTCGCTGAGATACTTCTCATTTTCACAATCCACCATGTATGAACTGACTCTCTGCTGTAACCAGTTATAAACAATTAGGCAGTACAGAATTCAGTCTTTCATTCATCTTCTTTTCGGCTTAGTTTATTAATCAGGGGCCGCCACAGAGGAATGAACTGCCAACTTATCCAGCATATGTTTTTATGCAGCGGATGCCCTTCCAGCCGCAACCAAACACCTATTCAAACACATACACTAGTGCCAATTTAGTTTATTCAATTCACCTACAGTACGTCTTTGGACTTGTGGGGGAAACCAGAGCACCCAGAGGAAACCCACACGAACACAGGCAGAACATGCAAACTCCACACAGAAATGCCAACAGACCCAGCCAAGGCTCGAACCATCAACCTTCTAGCTGTGAGGTGATCATGCTACCCACTGCACCACCATGCATAATATAGAATAGTACAGTAATATAGAATTTAACCTAATCAGTTCAGCTCAAAGCGTTTATTACTTTCACAAATTAAATGACCACTTGAATAAAGCAGCAGCATAATATTCTCTTTGTTTCCCCAGAAACTAAATCCAATAGTACAAAAGACAGACAAAACAATGCAAACCAAACAATATACATTACATAGACAGTTATGCCAATACTTTCATCAAATATTTAATTTCACGCACCTCAGTAAACCTTTAGCAAAAACATGAAAATGCTATTGTGAGAATTCACCAATCGACAGATAAACTTATACATCGAATTTCTCATCAAAGCAAAAAATGCTCAAACTCTTACCTTACAGAATAATTCACTTGCGCTATCTATTCTTTTAAGAATAATCCTCATATAATCATTGTATGCAACCTGCAGCTTATCTCTTCTTTAAAATTATACCAAAGGGAAGCTGTGTATAAAGAGCTGCAATAAGTTCTAAAGAGGTTTACCTTAACCTGCTCTGAACACAAACAAATCTTCCTCAATAGCATATATGCCTAAACAAAACTTTCGACAATTAACAAAAGACAAACCATTTCTTATCGTACTGTTATTCATAATGGAAATAAACCAAGCAAGTGAACGGATTAGTGAATGGAATCAGACATAAGAAAGTTTGTGAATGTTGAAATGTTCTAGTCCCTTCTTGTCAGTTTAAAAACTAACAGCCTCTGAAAGGAAAGGAATAGTCAACGCACCTTCAGGTCTGTATTGAGCAATGATAGTGACCGTCTGTCCAGCGTTCTTCAGTGCTGCGGCCGCCTGCTCATGCGTCGCACTGCGGAGGTCCACTCCATTTACCTACAACCAGCATGCAATATTAATGATGGACGGTACATCACAGACACTGATGGAAACTTACTTCCTAAAATTAATCTTTTACTCAAATGGATTTCAATATAGTGGCAAAAAAACAAGGTGACACTTTATTTTAAGGTGTACTTGTTACAAAAGTTCTATGTACTTACTATAGCAATTAAAAGTAATTATGCATAAGTACATGCAACCAACCTTAAACCTAACCTGCATTCTAAGCATAATGCAAGTAAATATAATTAATTAATATAACTAACCTAATTAATATACGCTACATTAATAATAAAAAGGACACCTTAAAATAAAGTGTTACCTAAAATATAAGTACAAAAAGAGGTTACCGCTTCATTTAGACATTCTGTTGACTGCAAGAAAACTTCACAACTACCAGAGTATTACTTGACTTTACTACTAGACTGCCGCTGCGATCGAATACTATACCAAAGTCGGCGATCCGAGGCTGTAACGGACTGTACCAAAAAAGTGAGTTTTCCAGGAAAAATAACAAAATGGGAGGGTGGCGGGAGATGGGTATGAAATACGGTAGACTCCAGGGAAAAATATTAGTGTTGGCAGGTATGGTATACCACATTTTGGAAAAGTCAAGGTTTTAAAACCACCAACATTTTCTGCTATACTCCTTTTTAAGGTTTATGTAAGATTTTTTTTTTTTTTTCGTTTTGTTTTAAGTTTTTTTAGGACAACAGTATCTCCAGCAGAAAAAAAACATCCAAAGATGCTGTTTTAAATTGTAATGAAGTCAGTGTTTTTGGAACTAATGAAGACAGCAGAAGTCAACGATTTATTTGAATTATTTAGCCTGACAAGATTACTGTTCCAAAATATTTAAAAAGTTTCTTAAAATAAAATTTATATTGAGTTCAAAGGGGAAAAAAGCTTTTGTTTTTTATCCAGACATTTAAAAAGAACATATTTTAGAGCAGTATTCAAAAACATAGTGAAACCGTGATATTTTAATCCAAGGTTATCATACTGTCAAAAACTTATACTGGGCCATGCCTACCAGACTGTCTGCTTAAGTGATGAATAATGTACACGCAGCTGGTTGTTACTGCAGAATGACTATGTCAAAATGATTAAGACCAAATCAGGAATTTATTTTGAAATAAAAACCCTTTGTAATGTACATTATCTCTTTTACTGCATGCCTCATTGCTATATATGTAAATAACTAGACACAAATATTTAATATCTTTAATATATTATCTTTAAAAGCAGAGCAACAGCAAAACATTTTCTTTTAAATAAAATGGTTTAAAGCCTAAACGAAAACAAGTTTGCACAAGACAGACACTTAAAAAGTAAAGTACATTTATATCAATAACTGCAGAGCTGATAACTACATAAATAAAAAAGAGATATAAAAACTTAATCTAAAGAAATCTTAATAACAACTGATTATTTAAAAAGTAAGTACATGACATTACTTAGCAGAAGTTGTGTTTGAAGAAAAAAATCAGCATGGGCTTTATTTTGATGATCCAGGCACAAAGTCCAAAGCGCAGGGCGCAAAAGCATTAAGGGCGTGTCCGAATCCAATTTTGCTATTTTAAGGACAGAAAAATCTGCTTTGCGCCGTGGCGCATGGTCTAACAGGGTTGAGCTTAATGTCTCTTAATGAGTTTAAAGGTGTGTTTTGAGAATAAACCAATCAGAGTCCCATCTCCCATTCCCTTTAAGAGTCAGTTGCGTCGCACTATTTACATGGGTTAGGATTTTTCTATGACCACAGAGAGTCAGATCCTTGGTAGATGGAAGTATTGTTTATTATTAGTTCATATTAGTACATTAACTAATGAAACTAAAATTAAACTAAACCTTTACTAATGAAATCTTATTGTAAAATCTGACCCTCTAACAATAGCAGTTAAAGATAATGTGATGTTCTTACAGAGACGATACGGTCTCCTTTCCTCAGTTCTCCACACAGGTCTGCAGGCCCTCCTGCTAAAATGAAGGAGATGAAGATTCCCTCTCCGTCCTCTCCTCCTACAATGTTGAAGCCTAGTCCCGTGGTTCCCCGATGCAGGACAATTTTCCTAGGCTCCCTAAAAACAAAAATAGTGTTTATTAATAAGGAATTTATTATAACTTTTTGACTTGGAAAATATGACAAACTAATACTATAATAGTTTTGTTGTGTAGTAATTGTAAAGAAGCAGATATACTGTAAAACATAAAATATTAAACAAATTATTAAATTCAATAGTAACTGCAAAACAAACTAAAATAATATAACTAATAAATAAAGGCAATTGAAAATTATCTGAATTTGCGATTAATTGTTATGTGTTTAAGTAAAATGTCATTTTGGTTCGATTCTGTAAACTACAGATCCAATTTCTTCTCAATTTAAAATAAAACCATTTACTTTAGAGCACACAATGATATTTGGTCAAAATAAGAATAGGGCTAATGGTGGGGGAAAAAAGCTATTTTACTTAAACGACAAAACATTTGGTGGGTCAACCCTGATCACAGGTTATTGTCATTGTCTGAAGAAAAAAAAGATCTAAATAACAACATTTTATTTATTAAATATCGAAATATTAGCATTATAAATGATAATAACAAATACCAAATACAGAATATCTTAAAAGTGATTTTATTTTCCCAAAGCTATATTGACGTTTTGCAAAATAAAATAACGGTACCACATCTCCCTCTAGTGAATAAAAATATGAACTACAAGATAGAGCTCTTAGAGGCAAGATTCGTTCAAAATGTAAATTAAAATCAGTTACTCATCCTTCACTTGTTCCAAACACTTGCACTCAAACTAGTTTGAAACAAATCAATGGCAAGTAAATGACAGGATTTTAGTAGTAGTGATGGTTAAAACCTACACATATAGCCAGGTTACAATTTACAAAGGTTAAATGCATTTTACCGTTTTCCATAAAGTGTACTAAAATGTGATATGTGCAAATATTGATTGGTGTATAATTTTCATAAGAATTATAATTAAGCAAATCGTCTGTTAAATTCCTGAAAAGTAAAAACACTGCATCCCTGTGGTGCTTTCAAAATATGTAATCCTCTTAATCAGCCAAACAGGGAACCTGACAATAGATTTGTTGTTGTTTGTTTGTTTGTTTGTTTTGTGTGTATGTGAATTAAAGACACTAGTTTAATACTCATTTGTGAAGCAGAAGAGAATTAAAAGGATGGAGAGTACATCTAGTGGCCTGTAGATGGCTGCATTGAGTCACTGAGATCTGAGTGTTTTCAAAACAAACCCTCACTCAACTTTACACACACACACACACACGCACACGCACACGCACACGCACACGCACACGCACACGCACACGCACACACACGATATTAACCCTTTAATAGAGATTCAGTTTAAAGGTATGACCCTGTCATTGTTTGCAGGATCACCATATTGCCTATGCCGACTGGCCTATAAATATGTGTAGTATTGTTAACCTATGTATAAAACTGGAGGAACTGATGTAACAATAGTTTTTAAAGTCTTTTTTTTTTGCCTGTTCTTTTTTATCTTTATAGTTGTTGCTTTTTGTATTGTTCTGTTGCTTTAAAGTAAAAATACAAAATATAATTAAAAATAAATAAATAAATAAATACAGTTTCACTACAATACTGACAGAATCACATTCACACACATTTTAGATATAAAGAGAGTAACATTTTTATAGTCATCCTGTAGAATTAAGTCTTAATTCAAAAAGCTTATCAGATTTGGCATCCTTGACTTCACAGATTGGTTGCTTATATCATGACGCTAGCTTCTGACGTCAGAAGCTGTTTGGTTTTAACATCAGTATGACGTATTTGGTGAATTCTTCTGATAGGAAATAAATCTCCCTGATTAAAAAGGTTTAACAGTAAAGCACGCCAGAAAGTGTGTGCGCATTTTCTTTTTAAGTGATACATTTTGGCTCTGCTCGCTACTGAGATACAAAAGAATGAGATTGACATTGGCAGCAGAGGATGCTTCTTATGTAGTAATATAATCAGGTTTAATCCTAAATTGTGGATGTGTGATTTTTATATTTCGCAAATGAATGTCTATTCATGTAAATGGATACAAACTTAAGCTATCACTACACAGCAAAGTGGCACAGAAACCAAACCTGAAGCAGCATCAATAAAAAAAAATGTGTATTTACACAAATTGTTTATTAAAATAAAATGTCTTTACACTGATATTTTACAAATGAATACCATCCCTCAGGTATTAGATATGGTGAAACATGTCTTTACCTTTTGTATTAAAAATCATTTACACTGGGTCACCCGTCTTATAACCACTTTGCTATATCTTCTAGCCATTTAAAAAAGCTATATATCTTTTAGTTTGGCTATAAAAAAGCACAAACATTTTTATGTTAGTTTAAATAATGTTTAAGGGTGAGCAACGCGATGGCACAGTAGGTAGCACGATCGCCTCACCGCAAGAAGGTCGCTGGTTTGAGCCTCTGCTGGGTCAGTTGGCATTTCTGTGTGAAGTTTGCAAGTTCTCCCCATGTTCGTGTGGGTTTCCTCCTTGTGCTTCAGTTTCCCCCACAAGTCCAAACACATGTGGTATAGGTGAATCGGGTATGCTAAAATTGACCGTAGTGAATGTGTGTAAATGAGAGTGTATGGATGTTTCCCAGTGATGGGTTGCAGTTGGAAGGGAATCATCTGTGTAAAACATATGCTGGATAAGTTGGCAGTTCATTCTGTTGTGGTGACCCCAGATTTATAATAGCGGATAAGTGTTTAAGGCCAATATTATTAGACCCCTTTTTTAATTTTTTTTTTTTTAAATTGGCAACAGAACACTGCTGTCAGAACAATGTTTAATTTAATCCTTTAAAACAAATTGCGGAAAAAAAAAACATATGCTGGAATAGTTTGCGGTTCATTCTGCTGTGGTTACCCCAGATAAATAAGGGACTAAGCTGAGATTTTGTCTTTAACAATATATTCAATATTAACTGGCTTCAAGACTTATCATTAACTGCTTATTGAGAGCTAGTTATGAAGTTGTCGTATTGTTTAAGTAAAGGTAAGGGGTAGATGGGAAGTAGAAATAGGCATGGGCTCATATATGATTTTGAATGTATGATAACCTTGGATAAAAATGTCACGGTTTCACAGTATTGTGATTACTGCTCTAAATATATGTTCTCTTTAAATGTATGGGTAAAAAAAAAATATATTTTTCCCCCATTGAACACAATATTTTTTTATTTTGAGAAACATTTAAAATATTTTGAAGCAGTAAACATGTCAGGATAAATAATTAAAATGAATCATTGACTTCTGTCTTCATTAGTTTCTAAAACACACGTTTCTTTACAATTTAAAACAGAATCTTCGAATTTCTTTTCAGCTGAAGATACTGTCGTAAAAATATATATATAATAAATAAACCTTACACATACCTTGGGAAAGGTATGGCAGAAAAATTAAGGTTTTAAAAACCTGACTTTTCCAAACCGCGGTATACCTTGAAAATGATTATTGTCCCATGTCTAATAGTATAATATGGTGATGCTGATTAAGGCATTATCAATTAGGAATACAGCCAATATGCAAGCTAATAAACAATTATCTAAAAGAGAGAATTGCTCCTAATACTATTGTACTACCATTTTACTGTATGTGAACATTAGAGTGTTAAAAACAACTTTTCTTTTGTCATTTTAAGAAGTAAAAGACTGTAAGACGTAAAATAGTGTTTAGACAAGAAAACTATGTCAAGATTTGAGATATACTGTATAATTATATGACGTTGACAAAATATTTTTAGGATTACATTCGTAAATTCTAACATAGTTTATAAGGGTTTATGAATGCATAATACATTAAGAATACTCTTGGGCATTATCAATAAAAGCTTCATAGAAATGTGTCATATTTTTAAGCAACTTCAGACAAAAAGTAAACATACAGGCATATTCAATTTTAACTGTAAGTGTGCAGCTCTTCATAAAACAGTTTAGAGACCATCTTGAAGTTTAAAGTTTACATTATAAAAATAAACCTGCTTTGTAGCAATATTCATCATAGTATTGTATAGTCATAACAGAAGAACGGGAATAATGCTTAAAAACAAATAAAGCTTAAAGAATACATTTAAAAAGAAAAACACCTCAGATTACTGTGCATGTGCGAATCATTTTACACAGTCTGTTTTGAATGCCATTAACCTTGGGCAGCTTATCAAAATGCTATTCCCTCTGAACCCTGTATCTACATCAAAATTATGGATCCGTCTTCACACCAGGCTACAGTACATTTAATGAAACTTATATAACATTATCTTACAAATTTCAGGATGATGATACAAAGGGGGAAAAAAATCTGAAAACAAAAAAGCAGCAAAAGATGTGATGAGAGTGGAAGAGATGAGAATGAGTGTGGTCAAAGTCTGCGTATGAAGTGTGTATAAAATGAGTTAAAAAGCGAGTCAGCAAGTCATACATTTTATCAACTTGAAATAAATGATTGTTCCACTTCACAAGACAGCAAAAACACAAAAGAATCATGAAGTTGACCTCTGAACCTGAAGCTATCAAATGTTTCTGTGTGTCATGAGGATGTCATGATTGAGAATGTGGAGGGCAAAGGCTCACCTTGTGATCTCATCATCTCCCAGCATGCCTTTTGAGACAGGAGAGTACCGAGATGGGGTGGCAGGGGTTAATGGTTGACTCAGATAGCTTTGGGTGCTGATATGGTTCTCCATGTGCTGGGAGTAGGCTGGAAAAACCGGAACACAAAGATTTGATGTTATTGATGTAAAGATGAAAACTCATTTGATGATGCTCACAGAGGTCAGGACCTGGAATCTCAAAATGACTGCACCAGTCATATGCAATAATGTGAAAAACTGCAAGTACAGACATGCCTAATATTTCTGAAGAAACTTGCTGTGTGAAAGGCCTTCTAAAAGAGTCAGACATGTTTTATTTATTTATTTATTTTTTTATCTTTTCTTGTGCTCGGAGCATGTTATTAATGGTCAGTTTTTCATATATGACAATCCAAACATATACTGTATATATGTATATGTATATATATGTGTATATATGTGTGTGTCTGTGTGTGTGTGTGTGTGTGTGTGTATATATATATATATACATATATATATATACATATATATATATATATATATATATAGATGAACACTGTACACTCTCAGAGTGTGGTATTTTTTCAATAGGTACACATTTGTACTTATAGGGTCCATATTGGTTCCTCAAAAGTATATATTAGTACCTAAACATTTTAAGAGGAACACTGTTGTACTTTTTAGGTACTAATATGTACCCTTTAGGTATTAATACGAACCTTTAAGGTACAAATGTGTACCTTTTGAAGGTACCACCCCAGTGACAGCTCGCATACCTTTATTTCTGAGAGTGTATATACAACAGTTCTGTCTGGTTCTGGAATCTGATTGGCTAATAGAAGTGTGATAATTCTGCAATATCAGAACTCGTACTGCCTCTTTACTCATGTATTACTCTGCACACAGACAGTGATAATAAACTCATTACAGTTTGACAAATTTTGCAGCTGTTGGACAACAATGTACTTTTGAGGCTTTTTAGGCAAGAATATAGTTGTGAAGTTTCAATAACAGACAAGCTGTTTTGCTTCATAAAGCCAGATGGTCAGGAGCTCCATGTATTAGCTCAGTTTTGCCTATAAATGTTTGTTTTGACTTTCAAAGTGCCGCTAGCTCTCAACTTGCATTTTATTAAATCACCAAGGATACTAGTTTCAGCTAATAATCTTCTTCGATGTTCTACTGAAGAAAAAGCACAACGAATGGCCTAAGAGTGAGAAATTAACAGGAAATTCTTACTTTTGTGTGAAGTATCTCTTTAAAACACCATTGCAGCATGCTGATTTGGTGCTTGAGTAACGTTTCTTACTGCAATCAATTGCTCATTTCAGACAGTAAATTGCCATAAAATAACCAAAACATTTCACACACATCGTATCTACACTCAAAGCTTCTTTCAAGACATTACAATTAAGCTTTAAATGTCTGTTATAATTTTTAATTAAGTCATCCCCTTAAAAATACAATCTTTTTGATAATACAGCCTTTAAATATACGAGTAGGCTACTAGGCCACCCAAAAAGGTCTGCACCTCACTTTCATTTTCACTTTCACAAGCAGGGCAGAAGGATTTTTTCAGAACACTGAATTTGCAGCTTCGAAAGACATAAATAAAAAAAAGTTATGTTTTTGGCAACAGAAATGTATGTTTTTGTTAGAAGGATGTTGCTGAGCAGCAGAGGCACTTATATTTAATGTCACCGGGAAAAGTAGCACTTAAATGCATGCGACCATTTTGATGATCATTTTGATGAAATTAAAAGTAGAAATACTCATAACTCTTTTGTGTTTTGTCATTTTAGCACAATAACAATGTTAGAAATAAATATGGACATATAAAAAAGAAAAGTCAGGGTACTATAGATATGTGGGTTTGATTTCAACAAGTAAAATTGCTAAAAAAAAAAAAATGTAAAAATGGTTAAAATTACCACCTTAGAAGTAGTGTTAAGGGCACTCCTAATGAAGCATTTTATTTTTTTAACGAGCATCATTTTATTAGTTTTGTTAAAGGAGTTTTTAGAACAGCAGCAGCATGTGGAAAAACTGAGCGCCTGTTTTACGTTTTTTTTATGCACAGCTGAGCATTTTTGGAAGAGCGCTGATATTTTCAGCTGTGTAAAAACATTTAACTGGAAAAACTATTATTACATACAAAATGTGCTGTTTTCACAGCAGAATTCTGGAAATTTACTGGTAATGTGTTACAACTTATACCCATAAATTCTGGAATCAATTTTCCAGTATTTTTCATTTTAATAAGGGCCTGTTCATACCTGATGGTAGTTTATCAGTGATTTTTTCTGAAAAGTCTGTATGTGTAACAGCTAATGTTTACAGTAGGTGTGTTTCTTAATATATTTGTGGCAAACGTGATAATGTCTCATTCACACGAGCAGCGACTTTGTAGCTTGTAACTGCAAACGCAGGTCTGTGTGAGTCTACAGCACGGAGAATACAACCAGCCTCTGAGTGAGCTGAGAGAGAATCATGTGAGCCCTACTGGTGCTCCTATTGGCTGTTGCTCAAAAAAAGTCGCTCTTCGTTTGCATAAAGTTGAAGGATTCTGAACTTTGTTGCATCGCTCGGCATGCCCACCTGGTCGGTAACGATCGCTGTTGCTCGCATAGTCTTTCGGAAATCGCTGAAAGACTCTTCATTGAAATGAACAGTTGCTTACGCCTTTGCCAATGAAAGCCACTTGTAGTGTGAATGATGCTCATATCTTTCAGGCTCAGTGTCTTTACACTCTCTTTACCGATAATTCAAATACATCCATGATGAACTATGTGTAGTGGCAAAACTACATCACAATAACCTCCAAAAGCTTCCTAGAGAAGAACTTATTAAAGCAGTCCATGTTACATACAGTATGTGCATAGTCTCAAAATATTTAAATCTCATTCTCCTCTTCACATATACTGGTGATCCATTTGGTTGCAAACATGGAAACAAACACAGATTGACATAAATCACGTTAAATGGAGCATGCTATTTTTGTAACAAATTTTTTCAGTGGTTATTTTTTTAAAGACCATGACTGTAAGAGCACCAAAAAGTCTATTTACAAATTATTGGTTTTAATATTAAAACTAGCTCTAACACTTATATCATTATGTCTCCTTTTAATGATATGAGTTTATACTACAGTAATAAAAATAACAATACAGTAAATTGTGCATAATTATAAGTAGCTAACACTAAACATAAAAGCAACTTAATTAATATTACTAACAATATTGTAAAAGAACACACAAAAAAAGTGCTGACAAGCATTATTATAGCATAAATGCTGAAATATGCGGTTTGCAAGGTCACAAGTTTACACAAAGTACACAAACAGATAAAATGTAAATATTGAAAGCATCTGCAAAATGCATTAATGTATAAGGAAATTACCTTAGGGTGTTAAAATAATGGCTAAAATTTCCTTTTGTGTTCACTTAAATCCTTTTAAGGCTCTATAATTGATGTCAGTACTATAAATCTAGTGTCCTTATTTCACTGTGTCAGATGTAAAGTGTAATAAAGTCAAGGGTATACGCACTGGGCAATTACTAAGCGCCGACATTGACAACCCATTTATTTAATTCTCATCAAACAGTCCTTCACGTGTCAAATCCCCACGCAGTGCCTGATATAATGAAATGGTATGGCTAATGAAATAGTTCTGTTTACGCCTTCTGAGAAAAATCACATTGTGCGCCCTCACACGACCGTCTACATGTGCAAACGTCCTTTAAACCTCCCTCTGCAACACTTGCACAAACACGCGCACTCTTTTCTGCATATACTGATGCTGGATTTGCTGGCCACGTGATGCACTTCGTGATTAAATGTGCTTTTGTCCTTCATGCCTTTAAGCCCTAATGACAGCTTCCTTTCTCAGGATGTAATGCTGCGGGATCTGGCCTGCCTCTGGAACATCACCAAGGTGCTACATTATCGACTGTCATCGCTCAGCATTTTGCACAGTCAATTTTAGTGGCCGTCCTCACGAGTTGCTGCCCCCATTAACAGAAAGTGCTGCACATTGCGGCTTTCGGGTGGGATTTAAGCCACGACGGAGGATGGGTCACCAGGACTAAGAGTTGGCGCACTCAAAAAGGAACATTCTTTCATTATTTACTCATGTCATTTCAAATACATAGACGGATTGGTTTCCAAATGAAGATATTTTTAATTAATTTTCCCTCCATTAAAAGTTTAAGATTCTAATATAACTCTAAAAAGTATTTGAAAAGATCCAAAATAAAAAACACAAATTAATTCAATCAAATTATTTTGAAAAGTCACGATTTATTATGAGGAAATATTCAATTTAGACTTTTATTTGCATAATCAATAATGCATTGATCAGTGAACAGTTTTTACAGCATATTTATTTGGTCATGGAAGTTCAAGCATGCTTGCTTAATGCTTGAGAGCCAATGAGGTTCCTTCTTGCATCACATCATCATGTTTGAGCTTCAGAAAGAACCAATGAGGTTTGTTCTAGCCTTTCAAGTAGATATGGATGAGCTTCTGTTCATGTTGGATGATCAATGTTTAAATGATAATTAAAACCGAAATAAAATCCAATTTTCATATACAGTACAGTGATTCAGTGACTGCGTTTCTTTTGCACAATTCATGAATTTATGTTTTGAACGTTTCTGAAGCATCATCGGTTTGGTTGAATAAAATTACAATGGTGGGTCAACATTTTCTCAGACATGTTTGGTACTCACCAATATAAATACTGATAAATGTTATTTTGCAATTAAAATAAATTAATTAATTAATTAATTTATTTATTAAAATAAACAAATAAAAAATAAGTTAAAATAAATAAATAAATAAAATAAATAATTTAAATAAATAAATAAAATCAAATAAAACTAAACAAAATTAAATAAAAATAAATAAATAATAAATAAATAAATACATTTTCTATTCTTTAGTGTTTATTTTATTTCTCAGTTAAAATTTATGGTGCATCACACTGGACACTATAATAGTCCATTAAAGTTCCTTAGTAATCATATGACATTAGTTTCATTTGCACTTTCAAATTTTGTTTACGCTTGACTTTATAATAGTAATATGAAAATGTTCATATGATTTATGTACAATAAAGTTTGTAAAGTAATATTTTCTGTCTTTAGTAGATATTTTTTTAGGAGAGACTTGCTTTGTTTACTAAATTAGTGGATCTAATTGGATTTGCATTGTAAACAAAGTTTTTTAAAAAAAGTTAAAAATGTATTGTTTTTGACTTCATATATTAAGTTTTTAGTTATGATACTCAGATTCTGTCTGGCCCTAGTGATAACCATAGTTTACTGTCATTGCTGTTGACATACAGTACCAAACTACAAGCTTTCCATTGATGTCTGCGAGAAAGAGATCAGTTATCATGCCCAATACCAGTATTTGCTTCTGCCTAAAAAAAATCTCAATTTGTTTTCTGAAGATGAACACAAGCCTCACAGGTTTGGAATGATAAGAGGGTGAATAAACAAGGACTTATTTTGAGTTGAGTCATTCATTAGAATCAAGTCTTTTCCTGCAAAAAAGCTTCAAGGATTTAGTATACCTTAGGATAGGCTTACTTACAGCTGGTGACATCGGGAGGAGCGTAACTATCATTCATAAAGACACTAGTGGGTTTCGCCACTTTTAAATAGACAACATCAGGGGTGTTTTTCAAGGCAGCCACGGCATCTTCATGAGTGACCTCTTCAAGGCAAACAGCATTCACCTGAAACCAAACACAGAATCCATCAGATCAAACATGGCCCATGGGTATGGGACATAAACAGAAAGACTGCATTTATTTGATCAACAATATTGTAGCATTGTGAAATATTATAGCATAGAATGAAATTTATACCTGTGATGGCACATAGTCCTACTGAAATAATTTGCTGTTCAAGAAAGATTATTTATTATCAACACTACAAATTGTTGTGCCACTTAATATTTTTGTGGAAACCCTGATAGATTTGTTCAAGATTCTTTAGATGGGATTGAAAAAGAAGTATTGCTAAAAGAAAGTTTTAATTATTTAATTATTTTTTTATTTATTTTAGTTGTATTGACTAAAACGGTGGGTGTTTAATTTTTGGAGGATTTTTTAAAGAGCCCATATTATGACCTTCCATGCAGTGTGTAACAGCTATAAGCAAAGTGAAATATCCAGATGAGGATTAAATCTGAAAGAGCACCATGTTTAAAACAATTGACTCATATATAAAAGAGTCGACTCATAGTGGTTCAAATGAATCGCGAGGGTAACAAATCTTTAGCCATGTTGGCGTGACGTCGATACGGAACTCAAGCTCATTTGTTGCGCACACAGACCTGGGAAAATTAAAACACCCGGCACCACCCACAAACACTGTAGAAAGAAAAAGAGGAAGACAAACACTGTAGCAGATCCCGCTTGACTCATGTCGTGAAGACGCTGTGCTCTGAAGTGTGAGAGAAAGTTAATGTTATTTTCCCTACTCAAAGATGAGGCTGTGAAGTGTCGGTGGTTGAAGCAAAAATACCTCAGCATTATAGCCCAAGCCTTGTGCTGTGTTCATGTAATTTTTCTGATAAGTGCTTCAGGAATCTAAATGCTTACAACAGGGGATTCGTCGGCAGTTTGTTAAAGAAAGGATCAGAAAAACTGCTGATATAACAGACTTTGTCAGAGCTTGACTCGAACTTTACAGTACACAGTTCATGGATCAATTTCTTCCTCCATTTCAAAAGTGTAAGTAACTTAAGTGCGATTAAAATGGTTGCCTCCTTGTTTACTCTAGCTTGCAAGGTATGTTTTTAGTTGTTTTGTAACTTGTAACCGCTTGTACTTTACCTAGTTTACTCTTTACATTCTCATAATCGCGTCTAAGACCACACTGAAAACACGATGCGTGCGCGATGTGTTTACTGATTTAAATGCGTTTGTGAGCTCATGATCCACAGCCGGTTGTCGTTGATAGGGTCACCATTAGCTGTTTCTACACACATGCGGCAGTCAAGTTTCAAAATAGTTCAGCTTTTGTGACTTTGTGGATTAATACTGAATGTTTCACTGTTTTTACTTATGGTTAATCCTGCATTGGGCTCACACATACACTCTGACTACTACAAAATTATTGATAAGCTGTGGTGGCCCTTTCTCTTTGTCTCATGCTGAATGCAGTCGACCAATTGCAATAGACTGGCTCATCTGACCAACCAGGGCAGATTAGAATCACGCTAAGGAGGGGTTTGGGTATAAATGAATTGCATATTTTAAGATTATAAATAAATGCTTATTATAAGACAATAAAAGTGTTATTTTTTTCCTTACATGCATATCAGCCTGTTGTTGGAGACCCCAAAACCAAAACATGAGCCTCCTAAATGCATAATAGGGGCTCTATAAAGTGTATTATTTTTGTAAACAAAAAGCAAAACCAAGCAAATAACAAAATAAACGTATCTTTAACTTTAAGAGAATTAAGGTAATATAAAAACTTTTAATACAAATGAAGTGATTTTGTTCTTAAAGGAATTTTTCTAAAGTGAATTATTTTGTAAACATGATATAAAATAGTCAGATGTAAATGGTCCTCTACTGATTGATATTGACGGAACTTTTGACAACAAAACAAAAAATAAAACAAACAAATCTTCTAAATTAAAGTGTATTAAGGTAATATGAAAACTTTTAATATATATATATATATATATATATATATATATATATATATATATATTTTTTTTTTTTTTTTTTTTTTTTTTTAATCATAAATAATATAAATAGTTTTAAGAGTTAAATATTTTGTAAATGTTAAAATAAAATTGTCAAATGTAAAGAGTCATAAAATAAAAATAAATAAAAATAAAAAATAATAAAATAAAATAAAATAAAATAAAATAAAATAAAATAAAATAAAATAAAATAAAATAAAATAAAAGCCAAGTTTACTTACAGCCAACAGTTTATCCCCAATCTGTAGCCTTCCATCTTTATGGGCAGCTCCTCCTTCAATGATTTTGGTGATATAAATACTGTTGTCCCCAGGAATATGTTGGTTCCCAACACCTCCTGCTATACTGAAACCTAGACCTGCCGAAAAGGTCAGAGTAAACAGAAACTACAGTAACTACACATTTAAAACCAGGTTTTTATTCTCTAACCTTAAGATAAATAATGACTTTACCTTTAGGACCTTTTACCAGCTTTACATCCATGATTTTTTCTGAGAGGGGTTTTCTTCTTCTGACGTACAGTCTGACAATGCAGCCTGCCTCCTTCAGCGCCTCCACGGCATTACTGTGAGTTACGTCTCTCACATCTACATCATTCACCCGCAGTATACAGTCATTCACTCTGCACAGAGACAAAGAGGGAGAACACTGTCAAAATAAATCTGTACAAATCACAGAGACTAAGTGCCACCAGACTGAAGTATAGTAGGCCCACACAAGTCTATTTGTGTAAACGTGTGTAACATAATTAGGTTTTTATATTAATTTCAGTAATATTATTTACTAATATGCACATGTTTATATGATTTAAAAGTTTGTAAAGTAATGTTTTTCATCTTTTAGTAGATACATTATATGTGAGGTTTGCTTTGTTTATCAAACAACTATCCATTGTAAACCTTGAATATAACCTTTTTGTTTTTTTCATGTTCTTAAGTTTTTAGTTATTACCCAAGATAGTTATTATTCCCAAGATCATTCCAAATAAATCTGCTGATTTTTTTTTTTTTTACAATATTATGTGGAGAAATAGCAAAAAATGTCCACAGATTCTGCTAGGCCAGTGTAAATGAGATTCATGCTGTTCTATCTATAATATAAACATGATGTTTTGATTAGAATAACAGATAAATAAAAACATATGTACGATTATAATTGAGGATTGGCCATTGACAACTATTACAAATGTTTCTAGTAAATAAAATGTGGAACAGATGTTTCAGATTTAAATTAACACGAGGAGAAGAATCATATTTATATCTGGAGGGTTATTAATTTACACTAAAGCCAAAGCATGGAGTTAAGGAAGACTATAAACTGCTTAGTCGTCTGGGATTAAGTGGGATTTACTGAATGCAAAAGTCTGACCGTTTGCCCTATTGACACATGCAATGCTTCAAACATATTGTACACTGCTATTTAAAAGTTTTACTTAATAAATGAATAAGAAAACACCTTAAATTAATGGTCCAGTAGTTCATGTTAAATTACAGTGTTTACTAACATAAACAATACATTTATTACAGTTAGTTAACCCAAATAAAGTTGTTCATTGTTAGTTCTTGTTAACTTACCATGCATTAACTAATGTTAACAAGCACAACTTAGCTTTTAATATCGCATTAGTGAATGTTAAACTATGATTAAGAAATGCTGTACAAGACTATTCATACTTTGTTCATGTTAGAAAATATATTAATATTAACTAATGGAGCATTATTTTCAAGTATTACCTATTAATTCATGTTCATAAACTAACACTGTAAAAACACTGCAGTGTTCCCCACAGAACACAAATTGTGTATTTACACTACCGGTCAAAAGTCTGGGGTCAGTATGATTTTTAAATGTTTTAAAATAAGCTTCTTTTGAGTTGAATCATTCCTGCTCACCAACGCTGCTTATATTTAATCAAAAAAGCAGTAAAAAGTGTGAAATTGTGAAATGTTATAGCACTTTAAAATAACTGTTCAAAAGTAGTTTAAAAATTTTATTTAATAATTTTATTTCATAATAATAATAATAATAATTTTATTTCAGTGATTATATATATATATATATATATATATAATATATATATATATATATATATATATATATATATATATATATATATATATATATATATATATATATAGTGAATGAATGAATGAATAAAAAGTAAACACACACATAAACATATATATATATATATATATATATATATATGTTTATGTGTGTGTTTACTTTTTATTTATTCATTCATTCATTTTCTTGTCGGCTCAGTCCCTTTATTAATCCAGGGTCGCCACAGCGGAATGAACCGCCAACTTATCCAGCACGTTTTTACACAGAGGATGCCTTTCCAGCCGCAACCTATCTCTGGGGAACATCCACACATACTCATTCACACTCGCACACGACGGACAATTTAGCCTACCCAATTCACCTGTACTGCATGTCTTTGGACTGTGGGGGAAACCGGAGCACCCGAAAGAAACCCACGCGAACGCAGGGAGAACATGCAAACTCCACACAGAAACGCCAACTGAGCCGCGGATCGAACCAGCGACCTTCTTGTGTGTGCTTTTATTAAAGTGCATTTTCAACAAAATTGGTTGAGCGCTCAAAACTATCAATGACTTCACTTTCTCATGCTTCAGACTGGCACCACTTATCCTGTTAAATGTTAGCCTGATTCTTAATAAACATGTGCTGCATGTGTTAATCTGAACTGGCCCTTCTGGGAAAAAAACCTGTCCTGACCTGAGTCTGCCGTCCTGTGCGGCTGCTCCTCCTGGGATGATCTTGGTGATAAAGATGCTTGGGTCCTCGCCGATGTGGGGGTTATCGGTACCGCCTGCAATACTGAAACCCAGGCCCGAGTTACCCTGTAGGATAGAAAATCAAAACAAGTCAGAACTTAAAACAAAGAACATGTCGCTCAAAGAAAACAATACACCTTTAATCAAAATAATTTCTGATATGGCTGGGTGATGTAGCAAAAATGCAAACTCAATCATTTTTTTCCATGTTGAACAATAATGACAAATTTTGAGATAATGCTTACAGCTTTAAAAGTTGTTATCCCAACAATGACTGATGCAACAAAAAATTGAGCCTTTCATAAATTACAATTTAAAATATTGTTTATTAGCAAAGTCAGATTTTTT